GGTGGTTTTATATCAAAATGATTGCTTTGAGAGCGTTCTAGCAGCTGAGTTCTTTCAGAGTCGACACAACATAGACACTCAACTCTCGAGTGCCCTGTGGGGCTGGGGAGAGGGTGTGGTAAAGTGCTGCTCAGAGGGAAGCAGGGAGGTGCAAAGGAGCAAGAGAAGTCTTGAAGAGACTCAGCCCCTGTTCCTGTTAGTGCCCAGAGCTGCTGTGGAAACCCAGGTACAGTGTTTGTGGATAACCAGCTCTCGGGGACCCCCGACTTTCAGTTTCGCTGGAACCATCCCACCAGCCAAGCTTAGTTTGCAGATGAGGCCTGACGAGCAGCTTCGAGAAAGCAGTTTGTTTGAGGCCCTAGCACGGTTTTTTAAAATTGAACAAATGGCAGGAGAGGGAATCGGAGCTTCAGGGTCTGCAGGCAGCTCTGCTTCAGCTTGCTTCTCTGTCTGGTCCCGAGCCACACTACTGTCCTGGTAACAGGAGCTAATGGGGGATGAACTGAGAGACTGCTTCCTGCCGCCTTTGAATTGTCCCTCGGCTTTCTTCCTGGTCAGAGCCCAGGTGGATGTGAGGGAAAGGAAAGTAGCTACGGCAGGCTCATCTTTGTTTTGTTTTGTTTTTTGTTTTTTCCAGACAGGGTTTCTCTGTGTAGCTCGAACTCACAGAGATCCTCCTGGCTCTGCCTCCCGAGTGCTGGGATAAAGGCGTGCGCCACCACCGCCTCGCGGGCAGGCACCTTTTAAAGGAATGTTCATCCTTCAATATAAACATTAAAATTGACCAAACCTGCGTGCTCCCGTGAGTGTGTGACAGCGCTCGCCCAAAACTCCGCCCTGTGTGGTCACACGGCACGCAATGTGCATGTGGACTTGAGTCTCACCTTCCACATCTTTGAGACAGTCTGTCTTGTGCGGATGCAGCTACCCCAGGCTTGCTCACCCAGGAGCTCCCCGTTCCTGCCTTCTGTCTCACTGCCAGGGTACTGGATTGCAGACACACTACTGCCTCCGTCTTTTCATGTGGACTCGGGGGGGTCAAACGCAGGTTGCCAGGCTACCATAGTAAATACTTTGGTCTGCTGAGCCATCACCCTGGACCGCCCTTGCCTTCTTAAGCCATCAAAAGCCTGTGAGGCTAGAAAAAGTAATGAAAATGGAGACGGGGTCCACAGGTGTAGACGGACTTTACTTCTGGGGCCGCCAGCTCACGGAGACTTATTAATTATGAAAGCTTGGTCTTAGCTTAGGCTTGTTTCTAACTAGCTTTTATAACTTAAATTAACCCATATTTTAAAATCTATGTTCTTCCACACACCCGTTACTTCATCTCCATATGCCGATCCTGGTTATTCCGTGTCTGGGTGGTGACTCTGCCTTCCTTCTTCCCAGAGCTCTCTCTGTCCAGAAGTCCCTCCTATACCTCCTGCCTACCTAAATTGACCATTTAGCTTTTCATTAAACCAATCACAGTGACACATCTTCACACAGTGTAAAGGAATACTCCACAATACACGGGCATTTTTTATTGTATCTTACTTTCTAGGAAGGACTATGTTAGTCCAGAGGTAAAACCTGACGTGACTGCAGTGAGACCAAGCTGATACTTGAGGACTGCCCTTGACCGTTCTGCCCCAGGAGTAATTTGCCCTCGGGTGGCAGAGGCCACCCAGCTCTGCTTGGCTGTTGAGAAGCTGAGGAGGAACAGCTGCGGGACACCCAGTCTGAACACGATGGAACCTTCTCATCCATCCCGAGGTCAGAACCCTGGCCCAAAGTAAAACCACATCTCTTCTGGTGCAGGTCCGTTCAGGCCTCTGCGGACCGAGCTGTCTTTCAGCAGTGACTTGGGAAGCTGCCGGTGTGTGCACAAGGAACAAAGCTGACTTCTGTCCCACCCTGTCAGAGGAGACAGGTGCCTAGATGGGGAGGTGCAGAAACCGCAGCCCTGACATCGTTCCCTGGAGGTTTGAGCAGGTGTCGCTCATGGGCCTGGTTCTAGTCCCTTTTCCTTGAACTCTCCTCATTTAAGAGCCCATGTCTTCTCTTTGGAAGCCAAAGAAACGATCTGCTGTAAACACTAGGGAGACACCTAGGCAAAGTTACTCTGGGAGAAGAAGGCAGCGTCAGTGTTGTGTGGGGACCAAGAGGAACGCACTGATCACAGATCCCCCCTTCCCATCCTGCTAAAAGGTGACCCAGGTGCTTCCCATCAGGCCTTCCTCCTGCTGAGATAGCTGTTCCCCAACTGCTGTGTCGCTCACACCGCCCCCACCGCCCCTTCCAAGCCTGGTCTGAGGCAGCGGGATTTCAAAGATGGTAATTCCTCTGTTCTTTCTTTATTCCAGTCCTTAAATTCTACCCTAAAGGGCTGGGGAACCCAAGGAAGAGTTCAAAAGTCAGGAACTGCAGGAGTACTTCGGCTCCGGGAGGGTCCTCCTTCCCAGACCTCTCTTCCTGTACAGCTCCAGGACCCTCTAGGGGGTGCTAAGCCCCTCCCTTTCCCTTCCCTTTTTCTTCTACCTTCTTTGTTCTTCATCAAATGTCCGGTGTTCTTCGTGTGCCAGATACAGTGCCGGATCTATTCAAACATGATATAACTCAAACGGGTAAGTAAATGAGACACGATGGCATATATGGTCATAGACGTAGACTAGGTGCCTCCACTCACCTCAGATAAAGGTCAAGGGGAGTGGGAATGGAGATTGTGGTAGCCGCCCATGACCATTTCTTTTATAATTTGTTCCCTTGTTCCCACCCCCTTTTGATCCCCAAATCCTACCAGTCTCCTACAGTCTACAAGGCTTTATGCTTTGGAGAAAATGAATGACATTGGGCCGGTGAGACGGCTCAGTCTGTGAAGGTGTCTGACGCCAAGGCTGGTGACCTGGGTTAGATCACTGGAACCCACACAGTGCGGGGAGAGAACAGACTCGAGGCCTCTCACCTCCACATGTGTGCTGTAGGATGAGCACCACGGCACTCGCACACCTACACACACAGGCACAGAAACACACACAACACAAAATTTTAAAAATATGTAAGTAAAAAGAATGATTCTGGCTGGGTGTGGTAGCACATGCCTGTAGTCCCAGAGGCGAGCAGATCTCTGTGTGTTCAAGGCCAGCCTGGTTTACATTATCGAGTTCCAGGGCCACCAGAACTACAAAGAGAGACCCTGTCTCAAAAAACGAAAAATCAAACAAACAAAAACAAAGAATGATACTTTTCCTAACTAAAAAATGGTAGAGAGCCAGACTCCCTGAGGCTTGCTCCCCACTCCCCTAAGAGTTTTACACCCCATTCTCTTAGCAGCCCTCCTTCCATACTTAGCTGCCAAAATAGCTTTATTTTACACAGCAGGTTGGGAAAGGGGCAGAGGCTGAGGCTAGGAAGCTGAGTAGCGCCAGGCAGGGCTTAAATAAGGAGAGGAAGCCCCGCCCTGCTGGCTTGGTCTGAGGAGAAGCCATGGGACACAGGACAGTAATGGCACTGTGTGCCCTGCCTGGATGTCAGTCCCAGGGGATGAGGCCAGTTAAAGACAGCTCTGGGAGACTCCCAACTCAGAGGCCCCTTCTAGCATGAGAAGTCTCCTAAGTGAGGGTGCCAGCCCTTCATTATGGGGTAGAGGGGACAAGAGATATCCAGGGAGGGAGCTGGCCAGTGGGACTTTGCCCCAGGCAAAGCTATCCCCAGACTGGCACTAAGAGAGGGTAATGTGGACCAAGTTTGGCAACTTAACAGTTACCTGATCAAATCTTAATTTGGCCAAGGCTGTTGTTTCTGTAATACCATCTCTCTCTCTCTCTCTCTCTCTCTCTCTCTCTCTCTCTCTCTCTCTCTCTCTCTCTCTCTCTCTCTCTCTCTCTCTTCCAGCTTTGCCCTGTTCCAATACATTCCTGCCTGCCCTCCCCACACCCAGCTCAGAACGTCAGAAACTATCTTTAGCAACATGGACACTCCCTACTCCCCTGGCCTCTCCTGGGACTCCGGCTGGTGGACACTTTTCCTTTCTGGGCCTCAGTTTCCAATCTACCTCTTTAGGCAATCTAGGACAGCACACAGGGAGAGGCTCCTGGGAGGTGTTAACTCTGCAGCTGGTCTTTGTACTGAAGTCTCAGAACTAGGTTAAATGATTTCAAAAGTTGAAGCCCTTGCACAGACCTGAGTTCACTGAGGTGTTGGGAAGGAGCCCTGGGAACAGAGGCCCACTGCTGGGATCCTCCTGGCAAAGGCATCAAACCTCAAGGAACGCCAGTGTGCCTTGTGGTGGGTTGACTGGATAGGACTGGAGGTCTTGAAGGGACAGAGAAGTTGCTCTCTACAGGGGGACAGGTCTTGTGGAATGGGAGGCAGAGGAAATGGAAATCTGCTGCAGTAGATTTAAGGAACCTGCCCTAGCAAGAGGCCATGCACGGAAAGGCAGGGCCCATTGTACAGGTCCTTACTAAATGGTTGAGTTTTCAAGATAGACTGGGCCATCCTGTGATGTTCCCACCAAAAATCCAAACAAAATAAACCTAACAGTCAAACCCTTGAAGTATGTAATTGTATATATGTATGTAAGTATGTAACCCTTTGTATATGTAATTGGTAAGAAAAGTATTGGTAGAGAGAAAAAGAATAATTTGAGATTTTTAAGAACTGTCTAACACTCCATGGAGATTTTCTTTTTTAACCAAAATCAAATACTTTTATTATTTTCTCTAGCTATCATAAATGAAAGTGCCTAGAGACAATTTTACAAGTTGCCCACAAATTTGTATGTGGCTTGGAATTTTCTACTGTGGCTTATCTTTTTATGTGGCCTTTCTATCCCAGGAATCTCAATCTCTCTCTCTCTCTCTCTCTCTCTCTCTCTCTCTCTCTCTCTCTCTCTCTCTCTGATTATTGTTTCTGTGACTATTTTTCATAGTTAATCTGGTAAAACCCCAAGAATAGGAAGGGCAAAGTCTCTAAGGGAAACTGCAGTTTAGCTAAATGATTTTACATAAAGTTTTAAAAATATGGAACGCTTCACGAATCTGTGTGTCATCCTTGCTCAGGGGCCATGTTAATCTTCTCTGTATCGTTCCAATTTTAGTGCTGCCAAGCGAGCACTGAGATTATTTCTAAGGCTAGGGACAAATGCCTGTTTTCTCAGGTTGGAGATTTAAGGGGTAAGTGGAGGTCTGGGACATAGGCGGATGTATACAAGGTCCTGGAGTATAATCGAGTATAAGCTTGGCTGAAGCAAGCGAGGACCGTGGCCAATGGGGAGCAGGTTATCTGTAGAGCCTGTGGAATGGAGCTGGAGCAGAGGGAAGGTGGGAAACATCCTGCAGAAACTGGGTCTAATCTCCTAGAGTGGAGCAATTCAAAGACTTTACAGAATGTGGACTGGGTCTCAGGAAACTCTTCAGAGACAGTGAAGGGGCCGGAGCGATGGCAGCTGTTAGAGCACTTGCTGCTCTTGCAGAAGACAGAAGTCACATCCTAGCACCCACTCCTGCTTCCACATTGGGTGGCTCACAGTGACTTGTAACTAGGAGTTCTGACTCCCTCTTCTGGCCCCCGCTGGCACTGACACACAAGTGTGCATGTGCACACATGCAAACACACACATATACACACAGATGCAAACACACACACCTACACACAAACACACACACACGTACACACAGATGCATACATACATAGAAATAAAATGAACCTTTAAATAAATAGGAACACTGGTGCATACAAGGGCCAACCACATCCAAAGGGAGAGAGTGTGTGTTCCATTAGAACCTCCAGCTCACTCCTGCAGGATCCAGAAACCCCCTTTTCTGTCTCTCTCTCCAAACCCCACCCTCTCAGAGAGTCTTTGAACAAAGGAAAGGGGCCAGAAAGCCCAGTTCCACATTCTTAGCAGCTACTGCTGCTTCCTCCCCTGAAGTTGACAGCTGCCCAAGTCCCTGCCTAAAGTGCTCAGCTTTTGACAATACTTGAGCACAAACCCAGCTAGTGGCAGACACATCATCACCCCTCCCCTACAACCCATAAAGTCTCCCTGGTTTCATTTGTGGGCACGGCTTCTCAGGCCTCCATCTCTGGGACTGGGGAACCCACCCAGGAGTTGCTTTGCTCAAATAAACCTGTAGTTTTAATTTTTTCAATTCAGCTTGATCTGGCTTACTGCATCGGTGGAGAAACCTATTATTGGGGAGGTGGGGGGGGGGAGATAGAAAACCTCTTAGTGTGTTGGAATCCTGAAGAGCCCTCCCTGGCTGTGGGTGAGGATGTAAGAGACAGCTGCCCACCTGCCAAAGCTGTGGTCTCTGGTGGAGGAAGCAGGCCCTGCAGCCTCTGGCCAGTGTGAGGAACCAGGAGAATGAAGAGGTTGGTTGGAGCAATTGCAAATGTGGAACATGGGGAGGATGGGTGCCCATGGCCATGGCTGCTATCTGGTGGGATGGGAAGACTGAAACTTGACTTTGGAGCTGATTGTAGAAGGGTCGTAGGTGGATCCAGAGAGGCAAACAACACATGCAGCACAGTCTCTAAGACCTCCAGGAGACAGTTTGGTCAGCATCAATAAATACCTTAAAAAAAAAAAAAAGATTTATGGCCGGTGGGGGGGGGTGGCGCACACCTTTAATCCCAGCACTCGGGAGGCAGAGCCAGGTGGATCTCTGTGAGTTTGAGGCCAGCCTGGGCTACAGAGAGAGATCCAGGACAGGTACCAAAACTACACAGAGAAATCCTGTCTTGAAAAACCCAGCAACAACAACAAAAAAAAAAAACCCCCAACGTATCTGAGTGCTTTGTCTGCATGTATGTATGTGCACTGTGTGCGTACCTGGTGCCCACTGATGCTAGAACTGGGCACCAGATCACTTTGAATGGGATAGTTGTGACCTACTATGTGAGTATTGGGAACCGGACCCAGGTCCTCCACAAGAGCCTCAAGTATTCATAACTGCTGAGCCATCTCTCCCGCCCCCAATGAACACCTTTTCAATGCATAAAATTGCCCAGTTCTGTGCTGTCCACTGAGAAGGAAATATGGGAATGGAGCTTTGAGAACCTGCTTGGGGGGGGGGGGGGGGCTGGTGAAATGGCAAGAAAGCTCAATGGGTAAAGGCCCAAGCTGATGAGTTCCATCCCGGGGCCTCATGTGGTAGAACCACAGAACCTCTGATCTCCACAGGTGTGCTAGGGTACAAGTGTGCCCTCCCCGGTCCCAATAAATAAATAAACAAACAAACAAATGAACAACTTGGCAATTCAGATGTGAGCCAGAGCAGGAGTGCTGGAGAAAGCCTTCTTGGAGGGAGTGGGTGTGAGATTCCCCGGGTGGTTTGGTGCCCGGGACTGTTTTCCTTGAGCAGAGGGGTACAACAGATCAGCCACAGACACCCACTTGATCGTGGCTGTCTGAATCCACAGCTTCCTTTCCATCCCATCTTACCAATTCACCTCCTTGCCTGTTTTTCCTGCTGCTTTATCGGAAGGACAGGTTTCTCCCAGATTCCAAGAGTGTTGTCCTAATAAATCAAGCCATCCACCCAACAATAAAATTCACCGGACTCATAAGCCTAGGCACTTGGGCTCTATAGGCACACTGAGTACATTTTCTCCTCTCAACAAGCCCATATTCCACATGGGTGTAGGCGTCAAATGTGTTTGATGAGGTCTAGTGGAAGTCTGAGCAAACTTTTAGAAAAACTGTAGAGAGGATGACTAACGCCTTCAGGCAGGTGACTGCATCGCAATCCCATTAATGAGAGGATTTGTCATGCCGCGAAGGGAATTCCTGGCACCCAATTTGAAATGTGTGGGAACAGCAAAATGTGAAAAGACATGGGAGCCAGGAAGATGGCTCAGGGGTTAAGAGAGTATACTGTGGTTGAGTTAAATTCCTCATGTCAGACAGCCCTCAGCCATCTGTAATTCCAGAGCCACTGCCTCTGGCCTTCGGGGGTGTCAGCAGTCTCGTGACGGTATCCCCACAAAGATCCCACTCGTGTATGTAATTAAAACCAATAATAAATCTTTTAAAACTGTGACACACACAGGGTGGATGGGTGGCCAGAGCACGGGAGGGCAGGTACTGAAGCTGGAGAGAGGTTTAGTGTGTGTCGAAGGACGTAACCCCAAGTGAGGAGCTTGTCAGTTTGGCAGGCAAGAACCCAGACGGGTTCTAATGTGGTGGGAGAGTGATGAGTTTTCCTATCAGAAGGCTAATAACACTAGCAGAAAACAGTGTTTGCTCAAGTAGACTCTGAGGACCTGTGGTGGGATCGGTGGCCCCGCCCTAACCCCTACCTTCACCCTGCACCTCACTTCCTCACGTCCCTGTCCTTACCACCTCTCTCCACAAAAAAAACCCCAAAAAACAGTGGTCATTCAAAGTTCAACCAGAGCTCTGGCTTTGCCTCAAGACAACAAGGCTGAGTTGAACCTGTTTCTTGTTCCAGGACATTGTGAGTTAAGAACACCCAGAAAGCCTGTTTATTAGTCGATTTTCAGGTACTGTAAGGAAACGGGTGAGGCTGGGAACTTTCTAAAGCAAGGATGTTTGTTTAGCTCACGTTTCTGTAAATCAGAAACTGTAAATCAGAGATCAGGCAACGATTTATGTTTAGCCTCTGGCAAGAGCCCTGGGTGTTCACAGGTGGATTGCATCATGGTTGTGCTTGTGAGACAGAGAGATATACTGAGAAGATACCAGCCAGGGGCCGAGGCTAGCCTTGCCTTTCATAACAACCTCTTGCAAGAACCAATTGGGGGCTTGGGAAAACTACTCTAAGACCCTCTGAAGACAGCCTTCAGTGACCCAATTCACTTTATTAAGGTCTCAGCACCTCTTACTATCACTACACTCTCAACACATCAACTTCTAGGGGGTCACACCTAAGCCATACCCAAATCATATCGTCCTTCCCTCCAGCTTTTGCCCCATCCTCATTTGGGACAACAGGACATAAGGATGGAACTTTAAGTAACAGGTGGGACTTGGGACCTGCTAATCCTAGAATAATCGTCCAAGTCCAGAGATTTTCAGTCTTCCTGGTGTTCTTTCCAAACTTTGTGGCTATTCCCCCCAGGCCTTATAGCTGAAGAACACTAAAAATAGGCCAGCTCATTTCAATTTAATTAGCCATTCCTCCGAGAACACCAGATGGAATGAAGCAAAGACAGATGCGCGGGGGGGTAACCGGAGTGGGAGTCGGTTCTAAATGTGGTTCTGGGAGCCCAGACAAAGGCACGCTGCAGCTTTGGGGCTTGTAGACCACGGTCTGGCTGTTGGTCTGGCTGTTGTTCCTCGTGCTGGGGTGCTGGGCACAGGGGAGAGCTGGTGTGTGAAGAGGGGGGGTGTACTGCGATTGGCGCCGGGAAGTGGCTCCAGGGCACGGAGAAAGAAAGCTTCTTCCTCCTCCGGGGCTAATGTGTGGTCCCTGCGGGGACACCTGCTAGTCTGGCTCCTGTCTTAGGGGCTGTGGACAAGCAACAGCCTACACCAGGAAAGACTGTAGCTAAGTGAGGTGAGGAAATCTATTTCTGGAGCCCTTTAGGAGTGGGAGAAACTGCCGGTTGCCCGGGGCCAGACAGCTTCCTTATCTGAAGACAGGGTGATGTGTACAGAGTAAATTCAGGCAGCGCATGGACCGAGGGAGATTAAAAGGCCCTTAGAGCGCAGGGTCTATCCCCTTAACCAGCGTCTTCACAGCGCATGGACAGACAGACCAGCGGTGTGGAATGACTGCCCCCCCTGGTGGTGTATACAGGGATAAAATTACCGGGCGCAGTTCAGTAGTTCATTCAACCGTTCTCTATGCGGTACAGTTTGTCTCCCCAAATTCCAGACAAAGGAGTGCGAGCCTGAAGTATGAATCCACGGTTGCATTCAACTCTTTCTAGCTTCCCCTCCCCTCTCTTTGCCCTCCCTTCCTCTTCCCTCTCTTTCCCCTTCCTCCCCCCTCCCCCATTGCTGGTTAGTCCCTATCGAGGGCATTTTTTTTTTTTTTTTTTTTTTTGCAGGCCCACGTGTGCGAGCGGAAACCATCTGAGCTATGACTTGAGTAGCTCCAGGGAGAAGGCTGTGTGTGTCACTTTTCCTTCTGGAGGAAAAGGCATGG